ATATAACTTTGCTGTTCAGTGGTGATTATGCACATTTAAAATGTAGCACTGAAGTGTTTTTCTGTGTGCTCTATTGTAACTCTTTATATATGATTTGTTTAATTGACCAGTAATGTTTTATGGTGTTCAGGTGGTAAAAATAGTTTTAAAGAAAGATTGAGAGCCACAGCTTCAGTCTATAAGACTTCAATAAAGGGAGTGAAAAATGCATCTTCAAATGTCTTTTAGCCCAAAACCTAAATATATTATATATTTTTTTATTAAATATCTCTCTCTCTCTCTCTCTCTCTCTCTCTCTACAGAATATCTAATAAGTCAAGGATTGTCGGACTATCATGCTCATTCCCTGCAGGCACAGCTGGCTCAAATATGTTCCCTCTGACTTTTCAATCTTCTTTCTTTCTTGAATAAATTCGGCTTATATGCTGCACAGATATATGTACGCTTCTTAGTAAATATAAAAGCAGAAACTACAGTACTACAGTCGTCTTTTACAGGACAAATTCACTACTTTTATATAATTTATATGACGTTTAACAACCACTGGTGGTTTTTCATACTTGGTATAAAACCAAAAGGTGGATTTGAAGTCTCACTAGTCTAATGGATGATAATTACCAAGATTTCTATGGGTTTAACTGTGATAACAGAGTGAGCTAGAAACAAGAAATGTGGCCCATTAGCTGGAAATGATGTGCATGTGCTTCCCAAGAAACATGAGCACTTGGTCCGGACTTTTATGAAATGTTGGTCTATATAAAAAATTATTTCAGTCATCAAAAATCACTTCATTAACACTCCTGAATATAAAACCTAAACCTGTGAAGAAGCTTCATGTTTGGAGAAGTAATTTCTCTCTGGAAGTTTGTTGCTTCAGAGCCGAGTGTATTTCTGTCAGTGTACTTTAAAAGTGTCCGATAAATGATTATCAGTCTGCTGTGGTTGCTGACAGGAAGTCATCCAGTAGCAGATAGTTGGTCAGTAACAGGCTGTTCAGACCTTCATCAGTGGCAGCAGGACGTGCTAATCATTGACTGGTCCTGACAGGCCTGAACACGAGCCTCTTATCAACGCTGACTGCAGTTATGCAACTGCGGCACAAAGAAAAAAAAGACGCTTTTCAACAAGTCACCGAGCTGTGAGGGCTTAGAGGAGGAGAGTCTGTTAGTGCCGTACACTAAAAAAGAGCTGGAAGACAGCAGCGTGGATGCCAAATCTGGGTCAACTTTTTCTTTTTGTCGTTGTTGTTTTAGGATGCTTTGGTCTCTTTTTTATCTGTTTTGTCCGTTGCCTGTAAAGCACTTTAAATTGCTTTTTGTTCATTAGAAAGGTGCAACATAAATAGAGCTTGATTTTAGAATGATCACCAGGTACTTGAGGTCCTGATACACGACTATAAAGCTGATCATCTGATATGAATGAACAAACCAATATGAGGATATCAGCGGAACAACTTACCTGATGAAAACAGAGAAATGGTAAAGATATGCAGCTTAGAATGATATAAAACAGAAAAGCAGAAAATAAGGCTGCACAATTAATCAGAATATTATCAAAATCGCAATAAGGTAATCGCAGAAGCTGCAAGCAGTTTTTTAATAAGAGTATATACACACATATATAATAAATGTGACTTTAGTACTGCAGAGATGCCCCAGCCTACAAATGTTGATCTCTAGATGTAAGAAACCAACATTTGGCAGCATGTGAACCTGGTGTGTTTTGGGGGTTTTAAGAGTCTTTAAAGTGGACTTCCTGTTTCATATTTCAGCTTGTAGCTGAAACCTGCAGCAACACGCTGACAAACAATCTGCAGACATTGCTGCTGGTCTGAAGTGACAGGACTGAACTGTGGTAATATGACCGTGGATTAATGGAACACACATTCCTCAGTGTAAAGAACAATAACCCTATCTTTTATTACCCCGTCCTTCTCTTCAGCTCAAACATAAACTCTACCTGGATCTCAAGGTCAAAGTGAGTGCAGTCATTCATCCATTTCTCTGCTGCACTTGATCTCGACTCCTTTTCCAGTGACTGGTGTGTGCTACCAGCATCAACTAACAAGCTTCAGATGACTCAACACCACATGACGCTGCCAAGGTTTCAGTGAACTGGGTTTGGACAAGTTCTATGCAGATGATGAGATTCTGCAGGCTTCATCTGACCACGGATTGGTTGGTTTGCAGCTGAGTGTGATGCCAGCTAGATGAAGAGAAGATGCATTTTGTGGAGCTCTGTTTGATTCTTGCAGCACACAGCAGACATGAAATTGCTGATGGCAAAAAGAATGGTGGCTTATCCTGACAAGCTCACACATTGCATCATGGTGCAGGCCACTGAAAAAATAAACACTGAATGCCGTTGTTTGAATTCACATCATTTGCCACTGATGTGTGTTGCCCATGAGGCCATGGCATGAGTGCCATCTTCAGGTTGAGAGGGAATCCAGCCAGTTCTCATTTGCAGGTCATCAAATATCAACGCATCCGGATGCACCAGAGCACTGAATGCCACAGGATCTACCACTTTCAACATGGCCAACATGGTACATTAAAATATGTTTGTGAACAGATTTGAGGAGAGAGTCTAGAGATGGAAATTAAGAACCGGTCCAAGTCAGTCAACTTTCAGGCGTTACGGTGACCTCTTCAACTTCGCGCTGACAAATACATCAGTGTCTTCCAAAGGTTGTAACGGCTCTCCGTAAAGATACAGATATCATAGAAAGTAGAAGAGACTGATGTTACCAATTAGCAACTGCTTGACGTCTGAAAGCTCTTTAGACCGAGACAGAAGAGCTCAAAGATCTGAGGTAGTTCAGCATCTGATCGGGTGCCTCAAGATCATCAAAGAGGTTTGGGCACATCCAGTTTGGAGAAGACCACCACCAAAATCTGGACTTGGATAAGTGGCAGGATGGATAATTTGTTGGTCATTTCCCAGTTCTAGGTTGAGCTCTTACACCATGAAGGAAGTTTTTGGTCACTATCTGGAGCTCATGACCATCAGCGAGAGTTCGAATGAAGACCACGAGATTTGTCTTCAGACGCTGCACCAAACTGAGTCAGGACCAGTTCTTCCTTTAGTTTATATAAAAGACAGTTATCTCATCAGAGTACATCATTAAGTGTCTTACCCTCAGCAGCAACATCACACAACCACTGACAGTGTGTACACTGTGTACATGTACAGAGACACACAAACACAGAGGTCAAATGGAGAGTTTTCTCTAAACAGAAGCTCAGACAAACACTTGATTTCATAATAACCCTTCTTCTCTACGTGGGTTGTCTAAACCACAAAACATCCCAGCTGGCTCAAACTTTCAAGTATATTTTAAAACATATTCTGGAATGAAAACAACCTGGAACATACTATATATCTCAAAGACCGTCCATCACTGAGTTATTTATTGAATTTATTGAACCTTTTTGTGCATCATAAACACCAGACCCTACAAACCGAAACAACCAAAGTGGATGACAGCTCTTTGTTCTGTTCACAAGCTTATAGACCTTAAGCATGTCTCCTCTGTGCCTCCTGTAGAGTTTGTAACATCATCAGGTATAAATGATGACGTAAGAACTGTCGTGTTTATTTTTATTTGCTGATGCACAGAACACATTATCGCCTTGATAATCATCGTACTGTTCGGGAGGATACCGGGACTTATCTTTGTCCAGCAGCAGAACGGAGCGTGTTGATGGTGTTTGATGCTCCGCTGCAAACCTTCAGTGCAGAGCGACTGATGTGTATCTGTCTGGTCTCAGATCAGCATGCTCACATAAGAAACCAGAATGCATGAAGACAATAGAGAGTCAAACTCAGGTCAAACACTCTGATGTACCTGAACAAATTTTACATTTACTGACAAAGTACTTGAGTATTTATTTTTTATAATATTCAATGAAATAATGTGCTCTACATTGCCGGTTTTGCACAAACTTCTTGCTGCTATTGTGTTCACTGTTTGGGTTCATTGTACAGTTTGTTCTTTACTGTTATTGTTATTATTTAATATAATATGAAATATAAAAAAAATATAGTTAGTTTATTTATTGATAGAAAAGGGCTCTCTTAAGGAAAAAGGCTGGGTTAAAGCAGTTTATATTGTGCTTTTCACTGTTTTCTATCACAGTAAATTGAATCTCTCTTTTGGACTGTTAAATGAGGCATCTGAATACTTGTGATAGACATTTTTCTGTATTATAAGGTTTTCTTTTGGACATTTTATGAATTAAAAAGACAACAATTTTTATTTGTTTATCTAATTATTTGGAGAACTATTAAAAAGCTCTTTGCTTGGACTAACAGTGTTTGTATGATGATAAAAACACTCCGATTTTTGTGAATATTCTCATATGACTAACATGCAGTCTCATATTGATTTCTTATTATTTTGAATTGCCACAAGGTGGAGCCACATCTTTACCATCAAAAATATTTGTTTCTTAACTAAAAGTAAAGTGAATCCAGATTGTCTAAGTGCCATTTTCAGAGTTGTAAGCATATTTTAAATAAACATTCACAGAAGTTGTTTTAATGCAGGTGTTTGATTGATGATAAGTTTTGTTTGGCTGATTTCACTCAACCTGCAGGTGTTTCTCTTTCTTTGAAGACGATTTGTTTTACATTTTGTTTTCGTTCTGCAGGTTCCAAGAGCTCTATTTGATCTTAGCTGCATCAGATAAGATCCTTCTGTCAGTGATCCAGCACCCAGATCGGCAAGGACCGCAGAACGCATTTCAAATTGGTCGGAAAAATGGGAAAAGTTTGATTTATATTACATAACACAATTAGCCAATACAGAGCTTTCTCACAGGCCTTGGTCACAGAGTGTTAAATATAAATATTGTGTTTAATATTACTAAAGACTGCATAGTCTATTTAAAAAAGTGAAACGTAGGTCGGACTCCGGCACAACCGGTTCCACAGTCCTAGTCTCTAGCTCTATTTGTATGGGATGTCTGTGTTTGATGAAATATGGTCGGTGGAATTTATATAATATTACAAATCACCTGAGGTCCCCTTATGACACCAGTCCTGTGTGAGTGCAGCTTGTGTAATGTCCCCAAAAGTGACATAAGTAACCTTCTGTGTGTGTGTGTGTGTGTGTATAAATAGTAAATAACAGTGATGCAGGTACAAACAGTGCTGACTCGTGTTTAGCAATGACACACACACACACGGTCTGCTGACACGGTGGTTTAACAGAATCTGAAAACAAACCCTAAACATCCAGAACAAGGTGAGATCTGAGTCAACTAGTTCCCTTTATTTAAATTATATTAAAGGGCTCCACTGTGTGTGGTTACAGTAATAATAGTGATGTTCCCTTTAATTCCTGCTGTTCATGTGTCTGTGAAGCTGGTTTTACTCTCCTGACTCTGACTCCTCATTGTGAGGACATAAACGTTTATCATTAGCTGATCTTGTCTGGCTGGAGTCACAGCTGGTATGAAGTCAGTGTCCATTATTACTGTCCTTTTTCTCAGTCAGACACACTAGCTCGTCTCTGTTACCTGCGCTGTCGGCAGTCCTGCAGGAGGGACGCTCAGTGGTGCATTGTGGGATTTTATGAGCAGGACTCACACTTTTACTTTCTCTACTCTGGAAATCTTTTTCAGCTCACAGTTGACGAAGAAAGACATTAAGAGAAAGTAAAAGTGTGCGTCCAGCGGTCTGCTGATAGTCCAACAGTCTCTCACTGTGGACGCAGTGGAGGAGGTCGGACCACCGTCTAACCAACAAGCTGGAAATAAATAATGTGTAAAGTTTGCCGAATTTACAAGAAGGCCCAAATAATGAACAATCTGTCGTAGATACGTTTTTAGAAACTTTATAAAGTTTCTCCTAACTCAGTAACTCCTAAAATTGTGTGATTCTTTAAGGGAGTCTGGTGAGATTGCTGTTAATAGTTCAGTGGTCAAATTCAGTTCACAAACAGCTGCTGCCGATCTCTGCAGGTAAAAGAGCTCCAACACATCATTTACATTACAGTGAAGTGAACACACAGCGTGTTTCTGTGTGTACTTACAGGATGTAACTGAAGCAGACACTTTAAACTTTCTTTACTGAGTAACTCATTACTTTTAAATGCAATAATTGGTTATTAAGTTATTTAATTATATTTGACACTTATTTTTTTTACCTACTTGGCGAACATGTTATGACAAATAAAGGCAGGTCTCTATCATACACCTTTTCTGGATTTTCTAAACTGCTTACACCTCCTACACAAATATAAATGTTTAAAGTTTGGTCAACATGGACGTGCTACAGTGATGTCACAGCGTACTGACACACCCTGAAGTACACATTCGCATCACAACAGCAAGGTGACAGGTCAAACCACAACCAGATTTTCAGCTGGTGTTTGTTTACTAAGAATATCATACAAATGTACAGATTCACATTAATACATTAATACAACACATTGTAATGTAAGTCCACTGTAAGACAACAACTAAAACACTAAAAAACTAAAAATAAAGCATCAGGAAGCAGAGAAACACATTTTTATCAAAGTGTTTTTCTTTCATATGACTTTAACAGGTTTGGTTTTACAGATGAAAGACATGGCGGCGTACTGGAGTTAAACTGAGCTCAGGCTGTTTATCATGCGGCAGCAGCAGCTTCAAAACTGCTTTTTTTTATATGATTGAACAAAACGAAAAAAGTGACTAGTTTACGCAGGAGTCACAGTGAATAATCGCTGTAATTAGTCTATTTTCTGTGTGTTTATGTGTGTGCAGTCTAAATAAAAGAGTTAATTAGCCTGGCTGTCATACAGTTTCACAGGGGGTCTCTCCAGAATTCCTCAGTATGACGGTGCCATCCATTTCAAAAAGTATTTTGTTTACTGTCACCATTTAAAGTGCTCGAGAAAGACACACAAAGAGGATAAAAATGTCTTCCTGTCTCTGGGGTGAGGTGTCTCTGTCGGGTTCGGAGGTCAGCTGTGATCAGGTGTTGTGGCCAGCTGTTGCAGGAGGACATCGCTCCCTCTCTCTCCTTTAATTGTGCCGATGTTTTGTATCACGCAGGTCGCTGTGATGTCACATGACCCTTCTGGTGACACTGTGGGAGACCTGGCGCCCTGCCTGTGTGCTGCAGACACCAATTAGTATGTTTTTTTGACATTAAATACGTTTTCATTCCCCTGTTTTATGAAGCAAATGTCCGATAACACCATTTAACTGACAGCAGACGTAGAAAGTTCATATGTTTGTCCATCTGAAGAAAAAGGTGTAAACAGTGTGACGTTATAGAGACACAAAGTCCACCGAGGGAGGAGGTCTGGGTCTGGCCGGCATTGGTTACTGCCGTATGCCACCGCTGTACGGCTGTGTGATCAAGTTATCAATACTGAGAGATTCAGACTTCGATAATTGTTATTTATATTATAAATGTGACAAATTGGACATGATACTGGTTATTTGTAGGAATTCTGTTTCTGGGGGAGGAACTAATCAGCGTTGGCAAGCAAGCTAAGTTTTTGACTTTGGACTTTGGATTCAGTGTTGTTGGTGAGTGTTGGCTGTTTGTAGCTGTTAGCAGACATTTTCTTTATCCTGGGGAATTGTTTCTCTGACTTTCTTTCCACTGGTTTCTGCTGTTTTTCTGCCACTAAAATGCAACTGCAGTAACGTAAGTGTGACGTCGACTCTAAACCGATAGACTTTACTTAAAGCTTTCAATTTTAACATTTCCTTCCATGTTTTTGTATTTATATTTCTAGTTCAATGTCTTTTTTTTAATAATTTACTCCATTCGTACTGTCAACATATATATTTTTAATAATTTGAATTTTCTTATTGATATTATATTTCTAACTAATAGTATTACCTTAATTAATGTAGGATTAACCACAAAACAGTCTTTCTTTCAAATGTCTTCCTGGGTTAAATACACTAGCATGCTGTCCCTGCAGGTGTCCTCATCTACCTTCCTCCCCTCAGTTTTACCTTTCCTGATCCAAATCCAACATCCATCCGGTCTGCATGTTTAATCCAGGTTCATCCTCTCAGCTGCAGCTCTGGTTTACACTCTAACCTCCCATAAACGTCTGTGTTTGTGCTACAAATGTTGTCCTCTCTGTTACAACCAGATTTACATGACAATAAGAATAATTTCTTCATCACTGCTTGACACTTGAATGGCTTTATTCCTTTTTTTTCCTCATTAAAATGGAAAGCTGGCGAGGCCCATTGGTTGCTAAACACTCCTCATCCACATCCTTGGTTTTGAGTCTGAAACATTCAGAGATGTTACTGTTTGAGCTGAAGGTCCACCAAACAAAACCTGAACCAACATTCCTAATTTTATTATATATATATGTATATATATATTAAATATCAAAATTCTATTTGAACTTTTCCTAATCAAGAAATATTTCCACTCATGTCCTTGTTGGAAGCCAAATGAATCTGGGCAGCAACAGACGCATATCTCCTGCATACAGATAACTGGTCTGCCACTGCAGTAACATCTTTTCTACCTTATTTATGTGAGGATGCCGTTCTGTGGATTAAGCAGAAGCAATCGCCCACAGCTTGACACTCTCCTGCAGGATGGATATATGTTGATCTGAAGAACAACATCAGGAAGAAAAATTATTAGAATTTGACAGAGAAATTAATTTTTTTGTTCATTCATTTTTTTTGCCATTTATTGTTAAATACTAGCACAATATGACCAGGGATGTGATCTAAAAGGGTTTAAAAAGGCATTTTTAATTTAATCTGCTAGCTCAGTGGTGGGGATGGAGCTGGCTGGGACAGGGTGGTTGAGAAGAGGTAATGAGAGGGAAGCCTGAAGCCATCATTGGACAACCGCCTCTGCATCTCTCTTCACTGAGCTCAGCAGCTCGCAGGAGCTTCGTCAGGCCACAGACTGATCAGCCCGAGCTCAAGCGGTACGTTGGAGGCCCGTCGTTTTGTACCATCAAACTACACTAAGCCACAGGCACCCAGTAACTCCCCAAACGCCCCGCCGTGGATTAAGAACTATTGTTATGCGTGTTAAACCTGCAGCATGTACAGTTTGGGCGTTTTTAGTCTCGTACGCTTGCTGCAAGGATATTTTAGCAAGCCATTTTATTGCTGCATATTGAGTGTATATATTTCTTCATTATGAGTCTATACTTTTCTATTATAATTTTCGTCGTTCTTATGATGCTTATAATATTCTTTATTTTGTGCATTCTTTATTGTCACTTGTTGCACTACATTCTCCCTGTGGCCTGCTGGTGGTCTGATTTGGAATTTCTCCTTAGGTGGAGTCAATAAAGGCGTGGCTTGGGCTGGGCTCAGAGCAGGGGAGCGGGTTCGGTTCCCCCAGTCGGAAGCGTTGGTTGGGTTTGGATCCGGCGGTTCTACCCTGCCACCATGTCGAGAGTATCCCTGTGAGCAAGATACTATACCCAAATTGGCTCCGATGGCAGTAGCATTGGTGTGCTGAATGTGGTATGAATGAGGTTGAGTGTTTCTGTTCGAAGTGGACTCGTTGCCATCACTGGAGCGAATGTTGGTGAAAGGGTGACATGTGGCAGTATAGTGTAAAAGCGCTGTGAGTGGTCGGAATAACTAGAAAGGCTCTATACCAAGTACAGTCCATTTGACCCATGTTACCATTTAAGAAGGAATCAGCGTGCAGACAGCGTGCACTGGGGTCCATCACGAAAGCAGGAAGCCAGGGTTTTACAGTTACGATGTTTCTTTACAGAATTGACAATGCAGCTCTAAATTTGTGACTTTTATTAAACAGCTAAAAAAATGAATAGGAATTTATGTAAATCACAATCTGCAGTGTAAATATCAGGACTAAGTCCATGGGATACATGTGTCCCACTGTCAGTCGGGTTCAGTGATTAAAAATGCCCGGCCTTGAAACGAAGAAAATGGCATTCCTGGATCAGCTCCAAACACTAATCACCTTGTTTCTTGGTGCTGATGTCCACAACTGGGTTGCACCAGCAATTTAATTGAAGACATCTGGTACCAAGGCTGGCAGAACTGACATTAAAAAAAAACAAAGAAAAAAAACACTTCTGACGAGATTACGGGACTGACAGGTCCACCGTCTGTGGTGGCAACAGAAGTGGTCATACGGAGTCGCTGGGCGATGTTACACCGTAAGCCAAACAGGTGGCTGTAGATGACAGGCGGTTTGTTCAGGTTTCTGGAGTTTTGTGTCAGCCGTCGCATAGTGTGTCTTCGCCGTCATACTTGATAAAGTTGAGCTGGATTGCGAATGATGGGGTTGAAATCCACGACTTTCGACCACTAGGGATGCCGTGGTAGGACCTAGAGCGCCGCCCTATTAATGTAGAAGTCGAGTGCCGCGCGCGCGGCGCGCGCTCCTCAGGACATGTCTCCGCTGGGTTAGAGAGGTTGTGTTTGGAGCGTAAACAGTCCGAGCTCCATATGTGGAGACGTCTATACAGCATGCATGCTGACTGACGGTAAGACATGACTCTTGAACAGATGGGTGAGTTTGTAATGAAGAATTACATCAAGAGAGTATTATGTAATAGAGTTTTCTCTAATATGCTCAATGTGAGTGATGCAGATGGCTGGGAGGAATTCCTAGGTGCGGAAATAGATGCTTTGGAAGAGCCACACACAGTTGAAGAACAAATGCATTGTTGTAAAAGCAGATAACGGTACATCATAGAGAATCGATGCTGTCGTTCTAGACCTCCTGACCAAGCGCGAGCAGCTCGAGGTATTTCATTACTCAGTTGTTGTGAGAACGCCCCCCCGTGCAGACATGATGATGTGTCTGCATAAGTATAGGTTTGGGCGATGGAGTGATTGCATTTTGGTGTGAGTATTAGGCAAAGGAGCATTGTATGTTTCAAGTCGAGGGTTTACCAGAATGTTAATTGTAACCCTTTGAATGATGTTCATCGGTCCACGTGTGTATTGTTCCGCGCTATGTTAACGAAGGTGCTATGACACAAGGATTGCAGCAAAATGATACGTCTTTGGTATTTTGTAGGTATTCAATAATCGTAATCGATTTTGTGTGCTTCCGTGTGAAAACAAATGGTGGACGCCTGCATGAGACTAACTGACAGCATTGGCGTACGCTAGCAGAGCTCACCTGATGTACGTGTAAAACGACAACGTGTGTATCAGTGATTTCTGGGGTGAAAGCTAGTATCATTAATTTTTATGGAGAGAATATGTGTCTGGCTTCCCTCCTGGACGTCCTGGCCGCGCTCCTCTGCCGCTCGAACTCCGGCTAAACTGCTAATGTAGCCACTGTTCAGCGAGGCAAGGCTGAACGGGGCTGCAGCAGCCTGCCGAGTGAACCGACAACCTCAGAGGAGCATACAAGGACAGTTTGGACACAGGCCGAGTACGAGTAGTTTTACTATGGAACTTAACTGTGGTTGCTCAGAAAGAGAGTGAGATGTCGCAACATTGATGTTGGAAGCGTGTGTAGCTCGGCAGCTAAAGTCCACTGCCTAGCCCTGGGATGAGCAGGATTCGCCAATAACTGGCAGAATAAATCACTTCAGTACTTTCATTCTCTGGTCGTCAAACTGTCGTCTTGCTGCTGAAACAGATGCCTGGAGGTTGTCTTCACGTTCTCGTTTGTTAATTTTTTTGTGGTTTTGTGTAGAGAAAAAGATAAGTGATAGCGGCTGCATCTGGCCATTAAAGTAGGAAGTTTTGATTCAATGTTCTTTCCCAGTTCTGAGGTTTTTTTTATAAGGTGTTTTTTGGTTGAATGTCGAAGCGCACAGTGTTGCAGCCATGAAGTGAGCAGTATAGATTGTTGGCCAGCAGGTTATTTGGATTCAGGAAATGTTTTTGACAAAAATAAAGAATAACAATGGAATCCCCATCGGCCGAGTCAATACTGCACTCATTGTCCAATAGAACAGCTGTTCATTTTTTCTGCTAAAGTTAACAAGCCGTGGCTAAACCGCGCGCGGTTGCGGTGCGATGAGAAAACAGCCTGAGCTGCGGGTCAGAGCGATGTGCCTTCCTGATCCACTTGCTGCTCTGACGCAACAACGGATGCCGCGG